AATAAAATATATATATATATATATATATATATATATATATATATATATATATATATATATATATATATATATATATATATATATATATATATATATATATAATTTTATATACATTATATTGAATTATTATATTTTATATTCTATCGCATTGTTTTATTGAATTATTTTATATAATAATAAAATATATATTTTTTTGTCAATTGTAAAATAGCTATAGATCAGTATGTGTTAATAATTGTATTTTTTATAATTAATATACATTAATACTACAGTAATATGCAAATAAAATTTCTTCCTATGTAGTTTAAAGCACTAACTGCGATATGATTATTTAAAAACAAAAACTAGTGTAGTCAGTTCCTTTTTTTAAGAAGCAAAAATAGAATAAATCCAATAAGCGCAATCATACACTTGGCGCAATAAGGCACAAGACGTGTTTGGCGCGATTTGTTGCTATTTTCTGACCAGCGCAACTGCAATTTTCACATTTTGCGCCACACTGTTTAAATAGCAAATATATTTGCAACATTTTGTGGACTCATGGATTCGCTGGTCAGAAAAGGAGGTGTGTTAAGGTGCATTGTTGGTGCGTTGCCATGTTGAGGAGCTGAAATAGACCGTGCCATTAACCAACTAAAAGCTGGTGTAAAGTTTATTCATGACTATTTGCATTTGTATAATGTTATTATTATTAACAGTGTTATTTATTATATGCATATTTATAATTGTTTTTATAAAAAAAGTTTGGATTTGTCCACCTGTTGGGTTTTGCAGACGTCTGCATCAACATATTGGGGCATAAGATTAGGAAGTTTGTTTGGATATAACTTGACCACACTTCGTTTGCTGGAAATTAGAACTGAATTTACAAATAATTCTGAAACAGATTTTGCACTTAACAAACGAAATTTAATATGTTGGCTAATTCACAAAAGTAAAGGAGTAAAATAAAAGAGGCTAAATGGAGGAGACTCATTCTTTATCCTTGTGCTGCAGATGCTCTGTTTAACTGTTCTCTCACTAGTGAAGTGTTCAGTTTTTCCACTTACAATGTCTTCCATGTAAATAGCGAATGTGCCATGGCATGACCCAACCGACTCTTAAACGGAATGGGAGATGAGAGACTATTTGGTTTAATGCACATAATGCTCAAAACACAACCATAACTCATTAAAGCCCTGTTTACACTGCCAGTTAAATGTGACCAAATTCCGATTTTTGCTCAAATGGGATAATGGGACACAGATCTGATCTGTTCTATGATCGTGTAAACATGAAAAAAAAAAAAAAGAAACGCATGCATTTGGATATTCAGAGCTCGTTTTCAGGCCTCCTTCATATATCATACCTGCCAACACTCCAGTTTTTCCCGGGAGTCTCCCATATTACCGACCCATCTCCCGTTTTGGTCCCGGAAAACTCCCGGTAGGTAAACAGCAACAACAGAATGTAAGAGGTCAGTCGCCACAAGTTGCTCCCACCAGACCTGAGATCTCTCTCGTACCCACAAATTCCTCTGAATAGTGGAGGACACCATATTTAAATGGCCCTTTCCCTCCTCCTTCTCCTCCACCTCAAGATTTTTTTAAAGTTGGGCGAACTTCACATATTCGCAGAGCGAAAAGCAAGACAATTTTTTTCCACCGTGGCTAGTGTGGAGCAGATGCTAGAAACTGCATTTACGCATGCGCAACGACGTAAATTGTATTGCAAGTGTAAACACATAAATTGGATATGGGACACAATTAAAAGAACGTGTAAACGGACAAGCAACATAATCAATTATAGGCAACAAATCGGAATTGGCCATCAAGACCTGACAGTGTAAATGGGACCTAAGAGAATAAGCATGTTAGATCATGCCCCGCAGAGCAGACCATATTTTTATATCCTTAAAATAGCAAAAGTGGATTAAAAATGCCCTTAATGCTTTTGCGCCATGCGCTTTAGACTATGCACTTAGATTGCTAAAATATAGCCCAAAGTTTAATTTGTGACTTCAGGTTGAAATTCTTTATCATATTTTGCATGTTTTACACTTGACTGCTGTTGCTTGATTTTTAGGGTAAACCAGGAGAGAAGGGAGAGAAAGGAGATCAAGGAAAGCCAGGTGACATGGTGAGCTTTTATTCTTTTCCAGCACTTCCAAATTCATTTTACTCTATTGAAGCAACTCTTGCTGATTGTTCGACTCACCATAAGAGGGCAGTAGTGAGTCAAGTTTGGATGCATCTGAAAATGTTCATTTCCAGCAGCATGTTGCTGTCACTACTGCATCCATAATGAAGTCTGCTGTCAGTCTGAAGAATCACTAGGCAAATTCACTTTCAAGGGAGCAATATGCATGCTTTTGATTTGCAGAACAGCCACCTGGAGTGTTTTACACACTGTCTGACAGGAGATGTTAAGGGATTCAGTGTTGCGTAAGGGAATATTAATAAACCTGAAGGTCAGCCATGTTGTAGCCTATCAGCTTTTATTATGTGCCTCTGTTGGCTACCTTTAAAAGCACTATTCTAATATTGAAAATAATATTTCTGTAGTTTGAGCATATTATATGTATTTTATGTTTTTTTAAAGTTATAATTATGGGTCACTTTATATTATATTATATTATATTATATTATATTATATTATATTATATTATATTATATTATATTATATTTTATTATATTATATTATATTATATTATATTATATTATATTATATTATATTATATTATATCATATTATATGATATTTTATTATATTATTATTTATTATATTATATTATATTATATTATATTATATTATTTATTATATTATATTATATTATATTTTATTTTATTTTATTATATTATATTATATTATTTAATATATTATATTATATTATATTATATTATATTATGTTATGTTATGTTATGTTATATTATATTATATGATAATATATTATATTATATTACATTATATTATGCTGTTGGCTACCTTTAAAATTGTAGTAATTTGCATCATTTTGCAAATCATTTAGTTTGATCATAAACATTTTTTATCTGAACTATGATTTTTTGCACAAAGCTATTAAAAAATTAAAAAATATCAGTGCACTAATATAGAGAAATGACCAAACAATATGTTATGGATATATTTATTGTTAAACTGTTCTCATTTCTTTTGAATATTTAATCTCTTAATAAAAGCACATAACTTTATAAATATTAATCTGCATAATGTATGATACGCACACAATACACTCCACACACATGATAACCTCCATACATATGCACAAATGAGACATTATAAATATGCACACATGATAGACTTCATACATATACACACTCCATACATGGACACATGATACACTCTATACATAGGCACACTCTATGCAAACAGTTGATGATACATTCTATACATATACACACATGATACATTCTATACAATACACATATGTCAGGTTCTGGGACAGAACCTGGGACTCTGGCGTGAAAGTTGAGTGACATTACCACTGAGCCACTGGTGAACACATTGCACACATGATAAACTCCATACATATGCACTCATGATACACTCTATACATATACACACTCAGTTGATGATACACTCTATACATATACAAACATGATGCATTTTATACATATTTATAAACACTTGCACACATGATATACTCCATACATATGCACAGTCCATACATACGGACACATGATGCACTCTATACATAAGCACACATGATACACTCTATACATATTCATACACACATATGAACACTCTACATATACAGACATAAATCCCCTTTATACATATGGACACATGATACATTCTATACATACACACTCCATGATACATTCTATACAATACACATACGACAGGGTCTGGGATAGAATCCGGGTCTCTGGCGTGAAAGTTAAGTGACGTTTGTACTGAGCTAATGGGAGTTGATGAACAGTGCACAAGATATGCATCAAGACTTGCTCATCTTTGGGTTACTATATTATATTTATAATAATAAAAAACACATTTTTAATAAGTATATATTTTGTTTATTATATTGTTGTTATATTACAATTTCAAATTATATTACAAATTGTATTATATTCATAATATACTCATAATAATAATATTAAATAATAATAAAATAGTTTTTAATCAGTATAAATGTTATTTATTAAATTATTGTTATATTACATATTAAAATTATTATATTATATTATATTATATTATATTATATTATATTATATTATATTATATTATATTATATTATATTATATTATATTATATTATATTATTTTATATTATATTATATTATACACATTAAAAAAAAGTTAGATTTATGTAGCTGAATGCATTATTCTATTTTATTTCTAAGGCTGAATTCAAGAGTCTCTAATAAAATAGTCCAGCCACCATGCGATGCATCATTTACACAAGCACAGACAAGCTTGTTACAATGATGTATCTACTCTCACCTGAATTTATTAGTGTGAAATGAGAAATCTCATGTTGAACTACTGCATTTCTCACTAGTTCAGCCAAACGCAATCATTCCTGTCAGAGAAACTGCTTGACTTCATATTCAAAGAGAGCCAAGTTTCAGATTTCTGGAGTAAACTTTGAGAAAGGAAATTACAAAGTCAACACGACAGTAAAGTATACTAGAACAGAACAAAAATATCACACACTGTACACTTTATAGACATGAGTTCTGACTTTAGTAACTGTTAACATTAATATAATAATATCACAATATCTTTGATATTTCCAGGGTCAAAGAGGACTACCTGGAGAGCAAGGTTTCAGAGGACAACCAGGACCTGTGGTAAACCACAAACACGCTTTTAAAGAGACCCTATTTTGTTTTCATGCAATAGATTTGCATAAGGTTATATAAGCAATATCACATGAGTAGCAGTGCATTGTATGTATTGTTAAGAATTGTATTGTGTAATGTATTGTGATTTATGTTAGCTATGTATGCTATGCTATCTCAAACAGCACTCTTGTTCAGTAGCCAGTGCACTGATCAGGTGGTTAGCCATTTTAAATCTTGTCTCGAGCTCAAAAATACAGTGCACTGAAATGTTTGCAATGAATCGTGAAAATCAGGGCGTATTGATAAGTGTTATGCGGTTAAACATATACGCATTAAAGGTCAGCTGTGTTAGTGTTGCAGTTTCAGTTCATGTCCTCATCCTTTAAAAATGCATACAAAGTGAATTTGAAATAGAATTTGAGTATACAATCTTTGATCATTCACACAAGCTGACTATGATGGTAACAGTTAGTCCTTATTTTTCATATTCCATATTTTTAGAGCAATTGAGATGTTTCTTGTGTGTCTGAGGTGTTGTTTATGTGCTCAGGGCCCTAAGGGTGATGCTGGTGATAAAGGAGAGCCAGGCAGACACGGAGACCCAGTGAGTTTGTCTTGCTCTCTCACATGATGTTTTTTGTTGTTGTTGTTGTTGTTGTTGTTGTCATCATAACTTTTCACTGTCACAACTTTTAATGTTTTAGGGTCCGCCTGGATTGATGGGCCCTCAGGGGTCCCGAGGACTGCCAGGGAATGTGGTAAGTTCCTCAATAAATCCTTGCCTTTTTTGACATCCAAAATACAAACTCTGTGTCAAGAAATATACAGTGGGGGAAAAGGTATTGAAAACATCACCATTTTTCGGAGAAAATATATTTCTAAAGGTGCCGAAATTTTCACCGGATGTTGGTACCAACCAAAGAAATGCATATATAAAAAAAGAAACCAAAACTAATTAGTTTATAAATGAAGTTATGTGTAATAAACTGAAATGACAAAGGCAAAAAGTATTGAACACATGAAGATAGGGAGGTGTAAAAAGGCATGGACAGTTCAGACAGCAGTGAAATCTCTGAGCTGAAATCTCTCAGTAGTTCTTCAGCAACCCTCTGCCCTTTGTCATTGTAAATTAATATCAGCTGCTTCAGTCCAACATCTACATTAGTAGGATTATAAAGATGAAAGCCGGGTGGACATTTCAGCAAGACAATGATCCAAAACACAGCCAAGGAAACTCTCAAATGCTTTCAGAGAAAGAAAATCAAGCTGTGGAATGGCCAAGCCAATCACCTGATGTGAATCCAGTAGAGTTACAAAATGAAGATCAGATTTGATTGATGAAACCCACAGAACCATCAAGATTTTTACACTATTGAAGTCTGTGAAAAACTCACACCTGAGCAATGCATGTGACTTCATTCTCCATATGAGAGGCGTCTTTTCCTAAGTTAAAAAAAGTAACTGTATAAACAATACATATAAGCAAATCAAGATTTTAACCACTAATCTATCAGATCTATTTACTGTAGCTATAGTTTGTGTAGCATTACTTTCACAGAAAAATTGTCTTGCTTAATGTAACTTAAGACTATTTGTCGCACATATACTGAATTATAATGGATTTTGTCGATTGACAACTGAATATACACAAAATATATGATGGTGAAACCTTTGAGAAGTATCGAAAATAGACTAAATCTTGTTAAATCTGTGGATACAGTTGATCTTACAAAATGTTTTCCACATTTCCACAAATCTTAGTTGTTTCACACTATACACAAATGGTGCCACTCAGTCTTTTTGCCACTCAGTGGACAGAATCACGGTCACTCCAGAAATCTCTTGGATTTGATTACAATGATCTTGATTTTCCTTTCAAGAAATACAATTATTTCTGGATAAAACAAGGGGTCTTTTATTTAGTTTTTGTCATTTTTGGGGTCTTTGTATTTTTAAAGAATTAACTAATAAAAACTGATAATTTTACTACAATAAATTAAGAGTTTTTAAGGAATAAATTAATTTTTTTTTTCATTTCATTTTTATTTTGAGTGTTAAAAATGTTTCTAATTAACTATTATAACTATAATAATTATGACTAAACCCTTTGGTTTTGGTCTAGGGTTTGGCTCATGTCCATAATTTAAATTTTATTGCTAAATATTGTTTGTGTGCTAAATTGTGTGTGTGTGTTTTTCAGGGTATTCCAGGCAGCATTGGCCCACCTGGTATTGCTGGTCAGAAAGGAGACAAGGTATGATTAATAATAATAATAATAATAATAATAATACTTATTTTATATACTGTAAAAACAAATAGCATGTCTAGCTGTGTTGATGTTTAGATATTAAATTAGTCGGATTGATATTTTAAATTTCTTTTAAATTATTTATATATTGTTTAATTTTTGTAACTCAGATAATTAACAGTAATAATATTAATAATTCACCCTATTAATAACTGATCTTATTAACAGGGAGATGGAGGAAAAGATGGCCCTCCTGGACCCCCTGGTCCAACCGGTGAGCCTGGTTTAAGAGGAGAAATTGGTTTGCCAGGAAAAGGCAAAGAGGGAGAAAAGGTAATGCATTTCTCTAGAGAATTCATCAGTTTGATAACAGCGATTATACTTTTTAATAGTGTTACTGTTGTAAATGTTCCGTGCCGATTTTCAGAACTACTAACAAAACAATTAGGTTTAAAAGCAGTGATCAGGCATTTTGTTTCATTCTTGTTTTACAGTTTCCCACCCATGAGCGTTTAATAAGCATCACATTGTGTTTACCTCCTCATGCACTGGAGAATCTGAAAGTTGTTTACGCTAACGTTTTCCATTTATATTCGCTGATTGTGGTTAAACGCAGTGAAACGTGGAGCATAAAACTACCACACATTAAACTAATGAGTCAACAGGACCACGACTGCAGGTGTTACAGGGGGAACGGGGCTTGTTTTATAGCTACTGCTGCTTTCTTTTTCCAGCTAGACCCACATCCAGAGTCTAACAAAGATACTTGCATTCTAATGCCTCTTTACAATTTTCAAGTTTTTTTATTGATATTATTTTACATTATTGATCTTAAACCAAACACCATCATCATGATTTACTTAAATTGGATTTTTCAGTAAATCATGGCTTAAGTTTCATTTCATTTGCCTCAAAAAGCTGTTTTATGTTTATGTTTAAAATATTTATTAATAAAAAAAAAAAATTGTGATAGGGAAAGTTGAAGGATTATTATAATTCCTTACATTTATACAGCACTTATATGGGCACTCGAAGCGCTTTACACAATGGGGGGGGGGATCTCCTCATCCACCACCAGTGTGCAGCATTCACCTGGATGACATGACGGCAGCCATTTTGCGCCAGATCGCATACTGATGATAAAAGTAGAGAGTGAAACTGGCATAACAATAGTTATCTGTTTTTGTTGAATTACAGGGCGACGCAGGACCTCCAGGTATAGCCGGACCTCCCGGACTGAGGGTAATGAGACCACTTCTACAAATGTTTTCTTGTTCAAAGAAAGACGCTTCATTTTGTCTTCTGTCAGCAAGGTCTTACTGCTTATTTTTCATCATAAGCACTTGTGAGCTCCCTAGGGGCATTTCATTTATGTGGTGATTTATTTATATATATATATATATATATATATATATATATATATATATATATATATATATATATATATATATATATATATATATATATATATATATATATATATATATATATATATATATATATATATATA